TATATATCGGTTCAAAATATCGGTTATCGGTCTACTTGATCTGTAATAATCGGTATCGGCATCGGCCTTGAAAAACACATATCGGTCGACCCCTATTCCCAACAGTACATTTTGTGATATGGTGAGAATAATGGATGTAGTATTAAATGGTATTTAACGCGTGTATTTCAGAAAGTACCTTATTAACTTTGTAGTTGGAAATGTATTACTGTCAAATGCAGCTCTGTGTCGCTTCAAACAAAGAAATTCTACACCTACCAATTCAGATGTAAATTTTTAATGCTTTACATACCTAATGGACATTTGCACAACCGTTACTAAAGTAAATGGTGTAATTACAAACTTGGTACAACTCCCCTTTATGACAGATTAAAAGATGACAGAGAATAAGTCAGTTGAAAAATCTTTTGAGGATTCAGGTGATTTTTCCATGTTCTGATCTGATTTTTCATGTTTTCATGACATTCAAGCTGCATGTTAATAATGGTTTTACTCTTGCAAATTTATCTGTATGTATTAAAGGGACAGTTTACCCAAAAGTGCAAGTGCAACAACATTGATTTTTATTTTTGTTTTCAAAACTTCTGTGGAACAAAAAAGGAGTATCATAAAAGTAGTTCATACAACTGAATTCATATGATGTTTTCTTTGTGTCTCGTCATTGACAGTGAACTTCAGAGAATTTTCTGTTTTGGGTGAACTATTCTTTTAACAACTACCATTATGCACAAGAATTGCACATTTTAGAAATGTGTGTAGTATGATATGCTTTATGCCTTTAGTGATCGTTGCACGAATTCAACAATGCAGATCGACACGGTAGCGTTAAAATGTAGCACTTTTATAAATCTAAAATGTCAGATTATATCAGTAAAAGATATAATCAGTGAATAATACTTGCGTTCAACTTCCACAAAGTGTTTATTAAAAATTGTTAGCATGTTTATTCACCTTTTATTGTTACTATGATGTAGCCATAAGCGAATGTTGCATTTCTTTTATCATACTACCAACATCTGGCCCAACATTAGCAAAAGGTGATTGTGAATAATAGTATAAAATGATTATTCTATAACTAGCAGGTGTTATTCCTAACAGTATATGCTTCCATCACTGAACTATAATTTGAGATGTGGACTGTCACGCTGCCCTTCCAGAGATCTCAGATACTTCTTCCAGTGAAACACACATGGCTTTATTCCAAAGGGAAATCAGAGGATCATATGAATATGTGCTTTGGAATGGGCAAGTTAGACAGTATTTCAGACAGAGAAGGTGTGATGAACACATTTCATAATTCTATATTAACTGCTGTACTTCAAAACCAAACTGCTGTTTGTTTATTTATACTGTACATCTCTCTTGAGTTTAGTAATAGTTTATTAGCAAAACAATGGACCATGATTTAATTGTGAAGTCAAAGCACAGTTATGATTATATGTACACTAGACTCAGTATCTTTTTGCTTTGTAAATATTTGAATGATTCAGGAATGTGTAACACTTCTTAAACATCTGTAAAGTTGCAACTTTGTTTCTATTTGTTTTTGAGATAGATGATTGCAATGTTAGTTTTTAGAATGTTTGTTCAAACGCTCATGTATGACAGGTATGTATCTACTTTTTGTAGAGAAACAGTGAATGTGCTTAATAAATCTATAAAGTTTTTCAAATGGAAAAAGTATTCTTGAATCATTAACTGATTTCTACCCACAGGATCTCTGATTCTGATTTGTAGCTAAAGGTGTTGTGAGCTGTGCCCAAAAGCAGTTTGAAAGTTTTAAAATCAGATGAGGTCTAATATGTATTTTCACAAACATATTCCCTGAGGCCACTGAACTATCACAGAACGTGTTGTATTACTGTATATATCCTTGGCTATATAATTCTATTGAAAAAAAAAATCGATCAACTCTCAAAGTGAATGGTGCTTTCTCTTTCAATATTCAGATGACTTGGAGTGAGGCGCAGGTTTGTTAGGTATGTACTGGCACAGCTTGCACTGCTTGTTTTTGGCTCAAATAACTGGGCTTCCCCTTGTTAGGACTTGCACTTTTGTTTTATGCACATGCTGTTATC